GGTGCATGGAGCGGGCGTGCGCCCGGCTGGCTCTGCGGCCACGGGCACGGCAGTTGGCGCCGCGGCAGTGCGCACGCCTTCGCAGCTGTGCGCGCCAGCGCGGCGAGGCACCGAGCGTGTCTCGGGCGGCGGCGGCGGCGGCAGGAGCTGCACGAACAGTTACAACCCCAGACATACTCCCCCCGCCCCCCATGCCTGTGGTGGTAAAGGCAGTGTAAAATGCGTGCGGGGGGCTATGTGTATAATTAGAATTACCCCGCGGAAGCGGTGACCCGGTGGCAGTGGGAGTTTCCCCTGCCTTTAGTCCGTGTTGGAGGTACTCTGGTCAAGTGCCTACCGTGCTCCACTCGCAGAGCAGTACCTTTGTTTCTGTCACCAACTGCTGCGCACCCCTGTGTACTCAGCGACACTGTCTTCAGCCAATTACTTCTCCTATAATTGGTTCTCGCTTAGTAAGTCCCAACAGAATGGCAGCAAAATTCCATATTGTTTAACAAAACAGGGTGGGATTGCTGCTAGATCATTAGCAGTAACGTTTTGCTGTTTGCTTAAAAAGAAAGCAGCGTTTTTCCCAGCTTGCGAAGAACTCTAAATGGATCCTGTTGAAATAGGTTTGTCCTGTCCTCTTTGGTGCTGGACTGTTATGTTTTCCTGGGACGGTAGACCCCGACAGCCCAGAAAAATACACAGCATTTCTTGGTTTCGTTTTCTTTTTGTGTATTTCAAATATTTATGCGCTTCCTATCTGGCTATCTCAACATCTGATTATTAGGGACCAAGAAAAGAATTTTGGTTTTCCTCAAGTTTCTTTTGTAGCCGGTGGTACTGTATGCTGAGATGCCAGACCTGCAAAGGTGTTTGGAGGGAGTCAAGCATTCCCATACCATTTTAAACACCCAGCACCAAGAAGGGAAGTCGCCTACCTGTTGTCTGCTTCCGTTTCGTATATGGTCCAGGATAAATTAGGAAAGGAGTTCCCAGTAGCTCTGTGCCAGGCAATGGAGGATTTGTTCTGAACCAAATATTAAATTTCCCTCTTCTTCACTGCATTTCCTGCTTCTGTCACAATTAGATGCCTGTGGGAGATTGGGATTTAATAGTTTAAATTACGTGTTTTGCATTTTCTTTCTGCCGTTCAAGTATCTTTGTTGGTGGTGGTCTGGTATCCATGGTGTCTTTCCCTGGTCCTGGATGTGCATCCATCCACAGCCCAGTCTGCTGTCCTTTGGAATGCTTGGTCTGCTTGCCAGACCCGCCACTAGGCTTGCCCACCACACTAATTCAGCAGAAGAACTAATCACCTTTTTGATGAGTTGCTTGCTGGGTTAACACTGTTGGTTCCTGTAGACGTTTTTCAGACTTTTAGATGTAGTGCAAACTACAGGAAAGTGGAGTCAGGGAAGTGAAGTAGCCAGAGGAAAGTGAACACATGGTTTATGACAACAGTGCTATCAGATCAATTTATACAGTCATCTATCTGTAGAACCAGTCAAAATAACTGGGTATTTTAACAGTGCATTTTGTATAATTTTAAATAATTGAAAATGCTGTGTTTAAACACACAAATTTAAAACAATTTCTGGAATCGATTTTATCATTTCTTAAAATGTTATTATCTTCCTGTCTTTCAGGCTGAAGGTAGCCCATTGTAAGGGCTAATCATCTGTCAAATACTTAATCATCATTTGTTCAGAAAATTTCCTGCATTGTTCATGGTAAGGCTTATATGTGATATTTCACATTTGGTTTGTTATGCTGACAAATTTAGAGTATTTCTTATACATTTTTTAGTATTAGTATTTCTTTTAGCTATAAGAATGACTTCTACTGCAGTTGGATCATACATTTATTGGGAATTGCAACTTCACAGAGATAGTTTTCATTTTGGGTAACTGAATCAATAAATATTTGAATAATTTAATATATTGGTACGAATAATTATCCTTTATAAATCACTATGTGTTCTGTAAAGCATATAACCTAGGGAAAGACCTTTATGTATTCACAATTTTAAAAGAATTTTAAGAGTAATGCTTTTATCAGCTGAAAGGCTTTTTCTGGTCATATTAAGCAAAAAAAAATATTTGGCAATTCTTTTAGTGTGTAAATGACATCAGCTGTTGGGATTTTATGAGTGAGACAATTTATAAAAATTACAAAACTTTCCCATGTCATTTTACAGGAGTTTTTCATCAGTATGTCTGAAACCATTAAATATAATGATGACGATCACAAAACTGTGTTCCTGAAAACATTAAATGAACAACGTTTGGAAGGAGAATTTTGTGACATAGCTATCGTGGTTGAAGATGTTAAATTCAGAGCACATAGGTGCGTGCTTGCTGCCTGCAGTACCTACTTCAAAAAGCTTTTCAAAAAACTGGAAGTTGATAGTTCATCAGTAATAGAAATAGATTTTCTTCGTTCTGATATTTTTGAGGAAGTTCTCAATTACATGTATACTGCAAAGATTTCTGTTAAGAAAGAGGATGTAAATTTGATGATGTCTTCAGGCCAGATTCTTGGTATTCGATTTCTGGATAAACTCTGCTCTCAAAAACGTGATGTATCTAGTCCTGAAGAAAACACACAGTCCAAGAGCAAGTACTGTCTAAAAATAAACCGTCCTATGGGGGAACCTAATGATACCCAAGATGATGAGGTGGAAGAAATTGGAGATCATGATGACAGTCCATCAGATGTGACGGTGGAAGGAACTCCCCCAAGTCAGGAAGATGGAAAATCACCTACCACTACCCTGAGAGTGCAAGAGGCAATTCTGAAAGAGTTGGGAAGCGAAGAAGTTCGAAAAGTAAACTGCTATGGCCAAGAAGTAGAGCCTATGGAAACAACTGAATCAAAAGACTTAGGATCTCAGACCCCTCAGGCTTTGACATTTAATGATGGCATAAGTGAAGTGAAAGATGAACAGACACCAGGCTGGACCACAGCAGCTGGGGATATGAAGTTTGAGTATTTGCTTTATGGTCACAGGGAACACATTGTATGTCAGGCTTGTGGTAAGACCTTTTCTGATGAAGCGCGATTGAGAAAACATGAAAAGCTACACACTGCTGATAGACCATTTGTTTGTGAAATGTGTACAAAGGGCTTTACCACGCAAGCTCATTTGAAAGAGCACCTGAAAATACACACAGGTTACAAGCCTTACAGTTGTGAGGTATGTGGAAAGTCTTTTATTCGTGCACCAGATCTAAAAAAGCACGAAAGGGTTCACAGTAATGAGAGGCCGTTTGCATGCCATATGTGTGATAAAGCTTTCAAGCACAAGTCCCACCTCAAAGACCATGAAAGAAGACATCGAGGAGAGAAACCTTTTGTCTGCAGTTCCTGCACTAAAGCATTTGCTAAAGCATCTGATCTAAAAAGGCATGAGAACAATATGCACAGTGAAAGAAAACAAGTTACTACAGCCAATTCCATCCAAAGTGAAACAGAACAGTTACAGGCAGCAGCTATGGCTGCTGAAGCAGAGCAGCAATTAGAAACTATAGCTTGTAGTTAAAAGCAGGAACTTTATCAGAAGTAATATAAGAAATTAAATTGAACACAATCTATTGTTGGTATACGTTTAGACTGAGAATTATCTTTTCAAGAAAACATATTTTTAGAGGAATTGAATGCTACATAGGAACACATAGCATTGCTTGGTTAGGTATTTTAAAATATTTCAGAGATGGGTATTCTTTGAATATGAAATAGTTTTGTTGTCATTAGCAGTATAATGCACTAATACCTGATTTAATTTGAGAATATGATCAAGTTCTCTATAAAACAGGAATCATCACCAGCTGATGTTTTGTTTCATCCAGTATGGAATACTGCATACAATGTCGACATCGAAATCAGTGAGTTTTGTTTGAAAATGCTGAGATCTCAGAAAATAACAAATGTGGAAAGGAAATACTTGGTTTTCATAATTGTGAAGGTGTTATACCTACAGTTTTTGAGAAACAGATGTTGATTCCCTAAGCTTTGTAATTCCTCCTTTTTTCACCTAATGTAGGTGCTAGAGGTTGGTACAACAGAGTGTAAGGGGGGGACGGTGATCAAAATGAAATTGCTTCTTATTCTATTCCCTCAGATATCCTTTTATTTTAATCAAGGTGGCAAGTTTAATGAAATACTTGCTTTCCTGAAAAAACTGCATTATTCACAGTGGTCCCGGCTGCCAAAGCAAAAGGGTCGTGGCATTCACCAGTCCCTTCTGTGGGAAAAAGAGTCTGCCTTGTTTGTTTCTGTGTTCACTCTTATGCAGGCCCCTGAAGACGGGACAGAGCCACACAGGAAAAAGGGTGCAGCATGGAGAAGGAGACATGTTCCTTACTCTGACCCAGTAGAAATTAGTTAAAGCTAATACAGCCTGAGGCTGTAGGTTTTATTCTGCAGCTTTCAGTTCACCTAACCTAGCACAGGTACTGGCAGTGCAGGAGTATTAGCTGTGCTGATGAGTGACCGGGTGTCACTGCCAGACCTCTGGAGTTGCAGAGCACAGCCACAGGCCATCGCATAACTGCCCACAGTGGTCAGGCTGGGTTTTGTGTCCTAGCTGGTCATATCAGCTAATAGGTCCCGTTCAAGTTTAAAAATTTCCGCCTTCTGACATACCACCTCTCAGCAAGAGGAAGGCTTCAGTGAGTGACTTCAGTCATAATTGAACCAGAATCAGTGTTCACTAATAGTCTGTTACTTAGAGTTGCCCGTTCTTTTTTTCAGATGAGCTGGGGTAGATGCTGCTAATTTAACTGTTAACTCACAGAGTCAACAAAGTGGTCTTTGGATTGCAGTCTGCTACGTGTAGTCAACACGAGAAGACTCAGTAACAGTGGTAATGTAATTCAAAGGGATATCAAGCCTTTATTTTAAATTTGTAAATACTACAACTGTTGTCAAAACTTCATTTGAAGTTGGAATGGGGAAAAAACCACACTCTTGGGCACATGTTTGGATAATGTTGGTCACTTGCGATACCTATAGCATATGAAAGTGTTAGACCAGTTTCTGGTAAGTTACTGTGTAGTAGATCACATCTTGCTTTTCTAAATAGAAATTGAAAATAGTGTTTTCGGAACTGTTATATGGAACTTTGATTATTGTTTTTTTGTTTGGTTGGGTTTTTTTACAGCTTCATTTTATTCATGTACTCATCAGGTTAAGCAGTTACCTTAAAATGCCAATAATTGTTTGAAAGCTGGTCTGTAAATAAAACATGAACTTAATATTTTAGAAAATGTAAACTTTGGACCTTTACCAATATATTTTTTTAAAATGTTGCTTCATTTTACATTCAGTAATATTAGTTTGTAAACAAACTATACATTTTGTATCTGTGCAACATCAGAGGATGTGTAGTCATTGCATTTTATTGGTTCTCTTGAGGAACATGATAAATGACCATTGTTAAAATGTTTTACTGTATATGATCATAGATATAAAGATAGTAGGTCCAAAATGAGATCTACTTTTTTTTCCTAAATATATTAGTCTTGCTACGTTTTCTTATCTAAAATTGTGTTCACTTTTTCTTAGATGATAAAATTGGGTTTAAGACTGTACAAAACAGATCTGTTGTGATGAGTTCAAAAGTGTAAAAGATGATGAAAGTAAATTTTCTCTAGGTCTCCTGTGAAGAGTGCAGGAAGTAATGAGCTTAAATTACAGCAGTGAACATTTACATTAGACATTAGAAAAAACTTAAAGGGTTGAGTAATGACTTACTAGAACAGAATGCCTGGGGAGACACTGCAATTTCCGGTAGTGGTGATATTCAAGAACGGTTTAGACAAACTTCTGTTAGAAATGGTTTAAATATAGTTAATTCTGCCTTGAAGCTGAGGGATAAGCTAAATAACCTCTCAAGAAGAGCCTCACTGGTTTTTTTGGAAAGTAATAAATAAAAATGGATCTCACTGAGACAGCAGACGCTTGAATGGGAAGACAGAGCTCAAGGCTTACAGTTAAAGAAAATTGCCCTCTGACATTTGAGCACCAGCAGTCAGGCTGTGAATTTGAAATTGTTAACAAAAAGCAGGCTTGCATTAAAAGAACACCACCGAAAGTGTGATAATCTTGTGTTTTACATCAGAGTAAATTCTGCTGTTAAAGCTTACAGCTCTTAAGAGTTATACAAGATTACAGCTGTAAGGTTTGCATGATGTTTGTAGCTTTTTAAAACTGGGACGGATTGATATTATACGTACTCTAATACAAAAGTGTGCAGAGGCAGGAACAAATATTATTGCTGCACGTTCCTTGGACAGGCATAAACACCTTACATGAGACTTGGTCTTAACAGTCTGTCATGGAAACAAATTCAGTGAAATCAATGGAATTGCTCCCATGTCAAAGGTTCTGAAAGGGGCCTTGGCCTCTTGCTGGTTTTTAGCTGCTTAAGAGTCAGAAGGCTGCTGTATGTTCCCGAGACCAACAATGACAATATTGATCAAGAAGGAAAAGGCTCAGTTATTTTTGTGAAGTTGAGAATTTTATTGGCGATTTCTACTACTGTTGTCTGTTTTAAGGCTATGAACTTACCTTATTTTTTCTTTTCTTGAAAGCCAATAGGTAGTTTTTTCTTCCCAATTGTTTTTATTCAAGACAGGGATGAAGGCCTAGAATATTTAAGGTTAAAGTTTTGGAAAAGGTTTCGGAAAGGAAGTGTGGAGGTAACCTTAGGTGTACGTTATTGTTAATGTGTTCTAGATTAATCCTTTTCATTGTGTACATTTTGAAGGGATGTTAGCTTATATGTTTTGGGGGTCTGTCTGTGAAGTTCAGGTAAATCTGCATCTTAAGACGCTACTGCTCCCAGCTCTCTCCTGTCTTGTGCCAGCAGATGCCGTGTACAGAAGCAGATGTACATCAGCTCCAGGCCACAGAGGTTTTCAAACATGATAAACCGTAAGCTATGAGCTGTGTTGATTGAGGAATGGGCAAATTTTTATTTTTACTGTTAAAAGGATGGCAACTTCTTTCAGAGCATATGAGAGAGTGGATGAGATTCTGTCCAATTAATGGGAATTTTGCTGTTGATTTTATTGGGGCCAGACTAGCCTAATATTCCTAACAGGTTTTCCAACAGTGGGCAAATTAGCTAATTGGGGTGTGTGCAGGAATGACAGAATGCTATAGAAACATAGATGGCTAAAATAACATTAGATATGAATTAATTGTTTTTCTCAGAATTAAGTAGCAAAAATTAGCCCTAAACATACACTTCTTCATCTATGGTTTGTGAAATCAGAGTCAGTTATGTCTTGGTTACTCTTTTTTGTTTATACTGAACATCTGTCCATGTTGCGATGTTAGATGACCAAGTGGCTTCAGTCAAACTCTCCGTCTGTTGGAATTAAGTATATGAATAGGTGTTTGCGTGACCAGGGCTTACATGTATATAATGCAGCAACATGCTAATTGATGTGAAATGAGGTTCTTCTGGTGACCCAGATGGGTGTAGAAGGTCAACACCAGTTGAGACACTAAACCAAAGTCTTAGTTGCAAAAAGATCTAAAGACTAAGGAAGTATAACCATTTAGTTAAAAGGCTTTGTGCTTTATAAGACTAAATAACTTAGAGTGAAAAGAAATATTTGAAATAAGAACTTTGCTATTCTGTGATCTTAACTGTGTGTTCCTAAAAATAGTGTGGGTTTTTTTGTAAAGAGAAAAAGGAACAAAGAGAACACATTTTGAACTCTGGTATCTGATTAATTTCTGATCCAGATTGTGTTAGCCATGGGTATGCTGCTGGTTATTTGGCACAACTCAGTTTGGAAACTGTAAAAGTTCAGAAAAGAATACCTTCCAGCCCTTCTCCATTCCACACTGGCTCTTCTACCCACCCTTCTTAGGAATATTTAAACAAATGTTAGAAAATGAAACAATTCACAGTGGAGTACCTGTGTTTTCATTTTTCTGCTTTAATCTTTTAAGAAGGTTTAGACCTGGAGATCAGTTTTAAAGATGGTTGTGTGAAAGAAAATGCCTCATGCTGACTTCAGTAGCAAAACTTTGAGGAGTTCAGTTTCTGTTTGTTCATGTAAGCTACAGAATACAAAATACTTCTCAAAGTCTTGCCATTTAGGTACCCAAACTGGGGCTCTTTTGAAGATTGGGCCCCAATTTTCTAATCTAGAGATTGTCTTCATGATTCCACTGAGTAAGGATATTTAAATTAATAGAGTTGGGTGAGATATAGAATAAAATATCAGATGATATCAGAAAGTCTACCCTAAGCTTAGAATGTATTTTTAGGGACAGATTATCTATTATTAAGTCTTTTATCAATTTAGACACCTCTCTGTCTTACAGAAGAGACAAAGCATTTCCGAAACAAAGTACATCTACCACTAACAACATATGACTTTTCTGAACGTAAACATTTACAGATTGGTACAGAATAGGATAATTCTAGCTAGAAGGTAAAGACAGATCTAAGAAATTCTCATCTTTTTCAAACAGTTAGTCTGTAGATCACAGTAATATGCCCCATCAGCCAGAAACGTGCATGTTTCATTAAAAATTCCATTATAGCAGTTGGTCTGTCATTTGTCTCCATATAGATCTAAAACAATTATAATAACATTCTTACTCTTTTCAGAACAGATGGAGGATTAAATGTAATACAAGAAATCTGAAATAATAGAAGAGCTAAAAATAGTGATTTATACAATATTGATATGTTTTTCAATGTATTTCTCTCCATTGTTCTTTTATATTTTTTTATTTGCAGGCCCTAATCCTTCAGATATTTATGGAACTCTGAAATGTTATGTATTTCAGTGGTTCTAAAATGAACAGCACTAGAGCTCTTTAAAATAGAAATAGACTTTTGAAGTCTTACTGCTTTTTTAATAATCTGTAGCTAAGAATCTAATTTTTTATAGATAAACTTGAAAAATATGTAGACCATATGAATAAATTTGTACCACATCTGACCTGTTTGGTATATGTATATCAAAAAGCATGGCCAAAGCAAAATTTCTTGGATACCTGTATCCCAGATTCCTTCCAAGGTATATACATTTTTTTTTTTAAAGTCTGTAGTTCTTGGAAGTACACAAGTTTGTAAAACAAGTGGTACTAACAAGAAATTAAAATTCTTACTGAATGGAAATTCCAAATATATGTTCTTTTTAATAATACTGAGCCATTTTGAGTAAGTGTATAAGGCAGTAACTACATATTACATATTATGCATATAAATAGATTTCAAGCTGTATCTTAATGCAGAAGTAAAAGAAATTAATGGATATAATGCATCGATTATAGATCATCTTTATGGAATCATAAAATCATAAGAGTTACTAAAATTGATCAACTTTTCCCACCAAAGCGTTAAAGCACTCTTCTGTTTTAGAAAAACATATTTTCTGATGCAAACCCATTCTGTTAAAAACAATAACCAAAAAACCCCAAA